TGCTGCAGTATCGCCGCCTGCGAACAAACAACACACACACAGTGAGCACTGTGATCTATCCCTACATGACCACCACAAACTGACACCAGAACACCCACCGCCTGTGAATAAACCAACAACACACACACCGTGAGCACTGTGATCTATCCCTACATGACCACCACAAACTGACACCAGTCAACCACCCACCGCCTGTGAATAAACCAACAACACACACACCGTGAGCACTGAGATCTATCCCTACATGACCACCACAAACTGACACCAGAACACCCACCGCCTGTGAATACACCAACAACAAGCACACAGTGAGCACTGTGATCTATCCCTACATGACCACCACAAACTGACACCAGAACACCCACCGCCTGTGAATAAACCAACAACACACACACCGTGACCACTGTGATCTATCCCTACATGACCACCACAAACTGACACCAGAACACCCACCGCCTGTGAATAAACCAACAACACACACACGGCGAGTACTGTGCCTCAATCCTACATGAACACCACAAGCTGACACCAGTCAACCGCACACCGACAGAGCGATCGTTGATACAGCACACGGTGACACCTTACACAGGTACTGCCACGTCTATTGCAGCATCACCATCTGAAAACCACCAACACACGCGCACAAGTAGCTTACCGCGTCAATGCTACAACACCACCAGATACACGACAGAGCTATTCATAATACAGCACACCATACAGCTACAGGTGATGCGACACCTGCTGCAGCATCTTCCAGCACTACCTGAAATCCAGCACACACACACATGCGCGGTGAATTTCCCAGTCAGACAGGCTACAAGATGGCGACTGACTGCTCACACCTGCGCAATGACGTAATATGTGTGATGACGCGTGCACAGCAGCAGTGCGCAAGCAGAGAAGGCAGGGAGCGGGTTGCGTGCCAGCTTACACTAACATCATCGACGTATCAGCAACAGCTGCAACACACAGTTTAAAAAATCCCCTCATTGAAATACACGTGATAACGTGCAGGAGAATTCTATCGAATCCTCCCGATAAAGCTGAGTTTACACTAGTTATCGACTTTATGCAGGCAACTTGGCATTTTCTTCTTTCTACCAACCTCTCTATATCATATGTTCAAAGCTCTTAGGTTATCGACCACGAGGCGGCAGCTTAAACAAGCGTGCAGAGTCTGCTGCTATGTGGGTATAACATGCACCACCTGCCCACCCTACAGCTGTCTACCTCTAGAGCAAATGGTATTGGACAAATGACACACCCACGTGAATCATGCGTCCCAGAGGCTAGTAATGGAGAAGCGTATAACGACTCTTGAATAATCACTATCTACAGGTGGCCATTTTTTTGTCTAGTGACTCATAACACTAGTAAGTGTACGGGCGCATATTCACTGACAGTTTGACCAGTCCTACAAACTTCTACTTCACGCTTCGTTCTTCGCCCGGGTCCCACGCGCGTGTGTGCTTGAGCGCGCATGGCTGGATAAACACTCAGCTCAGCTGTCTATTCTGGGCGCATTCATCTAGGATGGACATCCTAGTGCATCATCCCCCGCCCCTCCATCGCCGCGTATTTGTCACACCTGAGCAGCCACCTATAGCACAGCGGTGGCGTGTCCAGATTTCGCGATTATTCTAAACGTGCTTTTAGCCGCCTTGCCGTGGTGGCGGGGCTCCCTGTGTGTGTGTGTGTGTGTGTGTGTGTGTGTGTGTGTGTGCGTGCGTGCGTGCGTGCGCGTACGTGCGTGCGTGCGTGCGTGCGTGCGTGCGTGCGTGAGAGAGAGACGATGCTACGGACAGTGAACACGGACTAGAACAGCACACGAACCGCCGCTACGCGCCGGCCAGCCACTCCGCTCGCCCCCCCCTCCTCCTTCTCCCCGTACGGCGACTTTCACCCGCCAGCCCTCAGCATGTACATGTGGAGAAGAAGACGCGGAGGCGTGAGGCAACAGCTCCCGCCAATCTCACGCCCGCCATTTAACTTTTTAAAAACTGCTGCGCTGCCTCCGCTGCCGCTGCCGCCGCCGCTGCCGCCGCCGCCGTGATGCTATTTCTGGTGTACAGCGCGTGCGTCTGTCTGCACTAGCTTTGCTAGTCGTGCGAGGCGGTCGCTCCCTCCCCCCGCAGAGACACCGACACCGCTCACGGAGGAGATCAAACGATACCCCCACCCGCTCAAACCTTCCCATACCATCCTCCCACCTATCTTCGCCGCCCTCCTCCCACCGACCCTCCCTCCCACCTCTCCTCCCCATCCCATCCTCCCACCTATCTTCGCCGCCCTCCTCCCACCGACCCTCCCTCCCACCTCTCCTCCCACCTATCTTCGCCGCCCTCCTCTTAACCAACCAACCTTCAAACTCTCTTCCTCGCCCTCATCCTCCCTCCCACCTTCACATCGCTGTCTTCTCCCTAACACCAGAAATGACAGACTCACAATGAGGAGGAGAGTAAATAGTGTGAAAGCACACGCTCAGTCATCGCCTGTCAGTGCGTCTGTCACCCTTCGTCGTCGTCATCATCATCATAGGGGCTAGAGTACATTACAGTATCCCATCGCATGTTTGTCAGAAGCGGTGACAGTAGTAATGCGTAGTAATGCACCACCAGTGACCAGACAGACCACAGCTTATCTTCCTTCTACACGTTTCTCTCGGCGTTCACACGGCCGCATAAACAAACCAATATCATCAAAAAGCTGTTTGCGTTGCAGATTACGTTTTAAAACTAGAGACTGTAAGGGGAATTTCTCCACCAGATTCGCTGCAAGCCAGCAACATGCTGCTGCTACTGCTACTGCTGCTGCTGCTGCTGCTACTGCTACTGCTACTGCTACAGCTACTGCTACTACTGATGCTGCTACTGCTGCTGCTGCTACTGCTACTGCTACTGCTACTGCTACTACTGCTGCTGCTGCTGCTGTTGCTGCAGTAACAGCATCCGTGAGACTACAGGAGAAAGCTTAGCGAAAGGATAATGCTGAAACCCCACCACCACCACCCTCGCAAGTTATTTATGTAAATAAAACATGTACATTGTAAGCAAGATTCTGTTTATAAGGGAGGATTTTGTCATCAATACAAGTGCATTAGTCGCTGAACTCTTAAAATGTCCCGTTTTAAACATTCGCGCGTTAGGGGCGTCTTTAATAACGTGTCTCCGAAGCAAAAAAGAAATCGATATGGAAATCTAGGTAGCAGACAATACTCGAGAACAAATAAGACACTAAACAGATCTACCTAACACAAATACCTCAATGCGCGCATTAACGTGATATGCAAATGAGGAGACATCTGCGCGACGGAAGATATTGTCCTTTTGTCCCTGAAGTTCATGAAGTAAAGTAACAGCGAGGGTTTCTACAGCTGCGGTGCAGCAGTGAGTGACCTTCACAGGCAGTGAGTGACCTTCACAGGCAGTGAGTGACCTTCACAAGCAGTGAGTGACCTTCACAGCTACGTAAGGATATTCTCTGACCCCTCTCCCGTGTCATTAGCCTATAGCGGCCGCCGCACACGGCCAGCCAAGTCAATCACGCCGCCGCAGCTAAACTAGGCTGTTACTTTACAATGCGAGAGGCGCCTTGCGAACGTGTTCGCCTACTTAAATTACATCCACGGAGGAGGAGGGGAGGAAGTGTGCTTCATCTCCTAGCGAGTCGCGTTTGTGTGGAATAGTGGTGGAGGAGAGAGACTGTGATGAAATTGTGAAACTATCGCTGATTGCTTCACTGCCTCCCACCAGAACCGTATAAGATTGATGATCTATCGATTTCATTATCATAACACTCGAACGAGAAAATTTGCTATCAACTTGCAATAACACAAAAGCAAGTAAGTAAATTTTCGATGCGTACGTTGTAACGTAGTCCACGCTGGACGACTGCCACTAAAGCTGCACATCGTGTTACACCCGCTACTTAAACCCAAGCTTCATTCCGACCTTGCACGCGGATAAATTTCACGCTATTAAATCTAACTCTAGCCAGTTACGGCTACAAAGCGAACAGACTCTCACAGTAAATATCGCTTTCATGAACTCGATCCCTTCTGCGTTTAAATTTGGATACCGATCAAATTAGCGCGAGCAAAGCCCTCACGTCTAGCACGCTAAACATAGCAAGCCAACGTTTGTTTTAGAGTGCATAAATGTGCTAGTAGGCGAGCCAACAGCAGCAGTAGTAGTAGCAGCAGCAGAAGCAGTAGCAGCAGCAGCAGCAGCAGCAGTAGTAGCAGCAGT